ACCTTTCCCGTTGGTATGAATTTGATCCCATGTACAGTTTTTGAATAATTGTCATCTGATTATTTAATTTTGTATATTTTCGTATAAATCTGCGTTCGTAGGTCGATCGAGTGTAGGCCACTGGAGTCACCTTCACCTTGTTTCTTACAGCCCCCTTAACCTTTCCCGTTAGTATGAATTTCATCCAATGTACAGTTTTTGAATAATTCTCATCTGATTATTTAATTTTGTATAATTTCGTATATAAATCTGCATCCGTAAGTCGATCAAGTATACGCCACTGGTATCACCCTGTTTCTCTCAACCCCCTTAAGGGGGCAACATCGCTCCCATGCACACGATACAAAATACAGAAATCGGTTTTAGACTACAAAAAAAAACCGCACATCAGAATTTGCTGAAATTTGGCATAAACATTCCTTGATCGATTATCTAGAGAATATTGCAGTTAGATTTTCCATATTTCGAATTTTTTTTTTGCCTATATTGTGAAAATGAACTATTTCCCAAAAATAGAAAAATCCACGGTAAAAATTGAAAAAATAAGAGCACTATTCTCTAGATAATCGATCAAAGAATGTTTATGCCAAATTTCAGCGAATTCTGATGTGCCGTTTTTTTTTGTAGTCTAAAACCGATTTTGGAATAAAATTACAGATATTTTGGCAAATATGGTTCAGGCTTTTTTTCGAAGATGGCGCCACCAGTCAATTCGTGATGAGATAATTAGGCGTTTTCGAAAACCCCGAACCGTTGGAGCAGCAGCTGATGTAGGTTGTTCAGCGTTTCCAAAAAAGCCTATTGACAACAGAACCTCTTTCTCACTTTAAGTATTTGTTTTGTTTTTTATCATTGGTTTATAAAATAATAGAAACAATTAACAAAGCATGCTGTGCCATTAGTTTCCATTGAAAATAAATAAAGTATCTATCTAAGGTATACATAAAAAAATTGGATCGTGTTTTGTAGGACAAAATGTCTTTGAAAAAATAAAAAGTTTCAATAATAATTATTAAAATTTATTTACAAAAGGTGGAAAGTGCTAAAATTAGAGTTTTTCCTTTGTGTTCTTGCATATTAGTGCAATAATAATATCCACCAATGCAGTAGAGCATTCCATTTAGGTATCCGGCGATTTGCATTTCTTTTACTAGCTCTTGGATCTTCTACCAATATCTGAAATTGTGTTAGACTCCTGGTAAGACTATTTTTTTATTAGTCCTCCGAGTATTCCTCTATTTGTAAACCCATTCATGTGCCAATTGCTTCCTGAAAATCTCATAGGTACCTACCACAACTAAAGTCTGTTTTTTTTTAAAAAGATAATAGGCCCCTTGCATCAAATTTTTTTATTGCTTATTTCGATAGTCCATGAAAAATAAGTCAACACGTGTTTTTTCTTTTTCTTGTTAGTCAAAAATTGACGGAGATACAGCGCTTTGAAATGTCCTTCCGACGTCATAACTTAGGTATAATACGTTGTGAGTTGTGACGTCGCACATGCTCTGTATATCTATATATAAAAAACTTAATATTTGTATAGCTTCCGGAATAATCATATTTGGGCGGAATAAAAAAAAGTAACGATTTTTTTTCGATTTCCTACAGTTTGCAATAAACAATAATCAATTTAATTTTCCATGCAAGTACCCTATTCCCCAAGTCAAAAATTTAGTAACTCTGTTGGCAGCACAAGCCTTTTCTACATAAAAAATTTGAAAGCATTGACAATTTTACATTGTATTGCCAACATAATGTCATTTTGACTTTTATCTTTAAAAAAAAAACAGATTTTAAACATACCTCAAAAACAAGCTCTACAACAAAACATCACTTTTACAGAGTAGAACAAAATTTGAAGTTATACCAGGCCAGGCATGGAAATACAAATCCCTCCATAATCCCATTAGCCAATCAGTGCGAACTGAGTGAAAAAAGTTGCACTGATTCTGCAAATTGAAATCGCTATAATATTTAAAATGCTCCACTGTAAAAATGCTTTCATCTTGGCGCCATCTATAATTTTTTTTAGAACTAAAATATAATTTGAAGGGGGGGCCGTTGAGTCCTTAACCTTCCCCATTAGTATGAATTCAATCCCACGTACAGTTTTTGAATAATTTTCATCTGATTATTTAATTTTGTGAATTACCGAATAAATGTGCATTCGTAGGTCGACCGAATGCACGCCACTGGTGTCATCCTGTTTCTTACAACCCCCTTCACCTCCCCTATTAGTATGAATTTAATCCCATGTACAGTTTCTGAATAATTGTCATATGATTATATAATTTTGTATATTTTCGTATAGGTCTGCATTCGTAGGTCGATCGAGTGTACGGAACTGGTATCACTCTGTTTCTTACAACCCCCGTAACCTTTCATGTTAGTATGAATTTAATCACTTGTCCAGTTTTTAAATAATTGGCATCTGATTATATAATTTTGTTTATTTTCATATAAATCTCCATTAGTAGGTCAATCTACAGTGCCTTTATACAGGACAGTGGCGACAATAGCGCCTAAGCTCCGCCCACCCGCCATGTTTTTTCGAACTCATTCAATAATGTATTTGTTCTTTCTTTTCTTTCTGTTATATAACAGGCACAAATAACAAAAACAAAAATATATTAACACAAAATTGCATAAATCTCCATAGAATCAAACGGTAAACACAAATAACCTTCGACAAAACATAGCCGATATTCTGCAACCAATCGAAAATATTGTCGCCACTGTCTTGCATAGAGGCACTGTAGGTCAATCGAGTGTACGCCACTGGTGTCACCCTGTTCCTGACAGCCCCCTTAACCATCCCCGTTAGTATGAATTTAATCCCATGTACAGTTTTTGAATAATTCTCATCTGGTTATTTAATTTTGTATATTTGCGTATAAATCTGCATTCGCTGGTCGATCGAGTGTAGGCCAATGGTGTCACCTTGTTTCATACAACCACCTTAACCTTCCCCGTTGTTGGAAACAATATTCCAACAGTAAATTTAAAATTCAAATTTTAATTTTCCCGGTATGCACCGGAAGTGTGCGCGTATGTGTCAAACAGTGTCAAAAATCACTTGTCAAAGTTTTTGGTAAAGTGGCTTCCGGCATCTACGCGAGTGAACCAACGGGAACAGTCAGTGTCGAATCAAACCTCACCGAGCGCACCAGATAATTCTGGGCAGGTCTTATATGACCATTTTTACAGACTCGTAAACAAAAACGAGAAAATGCAAATTGTAAATAGTGTAAATAGTCGTGTGTGTAAATAAATGTAAATATATAAATAATACAGTCCACTCTCATTATTTTAAAGAATCCAACACCCGTTAGTATGAATTTAATCCTATGAACAGTTTTTAAATAATTGTCCGAGTAACTGTCATCTGATTATTCAATTTTTTATTTTTTATTTATAATAAATGCCTACTCGTAAAACTATTAAGTGAACGGCTCTGATGTCAATGTACCTATATATTGAAGTTTTTAAAAAAAATTTATACGTACTCTGTTCAAAACCAAATAATATTGAATAATAATAAATGCATGTGTAATAAAAAATTCATTACCGACGCCACTGAACGTTCGGGTATCTTCGGCATTTTGGCAGATAACTTTTGTCAGGAAACTTCACAGTGGTGATTTTTTTTTGCATCTAACGGAGAAATAAATCATAAGCCAGTCGATGGTAAACCTTCTTCAAGTGCATTTATTACGATGTGATTTCAAAATAATTAAAAGAAATTATACATTTTTCTAAAGTAGAAAAATCAGGCTTTCTGACGATAAAAAAATATACAGGGTGTTTTATTGAAAAAAGGGCAGTAACTTCATTTCAATAAATCGCATGGCTGTAAAACCAAATTTCAGCAAATAATGGGATTTGGCAATACTGTGAAGAAAAACTTCAAAAAACTCTTATTCTCCCAGAACAATTCGCATCTCGTTATCTTTTCTCGTTTTCGAGATATTTTACCTGCAAAATGTGTCAGTTTATCTAAGGACACGCTGTTACATTAGTAATTTCTTGATCAAGGAATTCATAAAGATTTGATATTCTTTTGGCATTTTGTGTTTTTGGCAATTCTGGTTCATCATCAAATTATAAATATATTATGGGCTAATTTTCGAACTTGGTCATTGACGTACGCTAGCCAAAAGAGAACGGAAATATATTTTTTTTTGATTATTTATTTTTTTTAATTTCAAGTAAGAATAATGGAAATAACTTTCAATATTATCATCAATAAATTATTTTGGACTATCAAAATACAATCTTCGTGATGTTTGCTTTCTTTTTGGGATAGCACAATATTTTATACAATCTGTGTGGGCGCATCCTTCCCTTTCGTCATATTAAACTCGAGGTTATGTAATTACAAGAACATAGTAGCGCTGATTGATGCTGCTGCCTCTAACGTGAAAAAAAAAAAATGAAAAATTACCCCATACATAAAATTTTGTATGGTCACTATGGTCCTAGGTACATAATGAATGGATCACTTCTGTGTCAAATGTTGACACACAGACAATAAAGTTCAAATTATAGACCGCTTGAAAATAAAATTATATTTTCACATGTAGGTTTGAGCGAGGGTTTGATGTTGTATCTTCTTAGCATCATCAAATACCGTCTGCAGCCAAAAATCACTGAAAATCTTAAATTTCTGGAATAATTTTTGCGTAGATATATTGTATCTGACATTTTGATAAGTTTTATGACACAAGAATTCAGACTTTTTCCCTTTGTTTTTTCTGTTTTTAGGAAATACTATTATAAATTTCATTTTTTTCTCAAAAGGGTCTGATTCCCCTAAATTGCATTTTTGAAAAAGGTATGTTCAAATGCACTTTTTTTAAGTAACAGTAAAATTGGTATTGAAATAAAAAATTAGTGAGATTTTTTTCAAAAAAAAAAAAAAAAATTCAAGGAAGAACTTGCAACTGCATTTGTTCCTATTTAGGACATTTAATGTAACTCAGTATACATTCTAAACTCACCCTTCCATATTCCACTAACTTTGTTCACATTCTTATCGCCGAAATACAAAAAAGCGCTTCTCGATTTCATTTTTATTCAATTAATGCGTTTTATATAGTGAGACAATCAACGAAAATAAACATTACATTGACAAACTGTTTATTTACTATTTCTTTTAGTAGCGGCAACAGCAGGATGCGGTCATCGTCATCCTATAGCGATATCCTAGACCTCTAATGTAGACCGCACGGTGCTGGGTGTTAGATAGCAGCCTTCGACGAAGCCGATTTTAGTTCAATATTTTTTTTAGTCCAGTCAAATTAGAATTTCTTCAGGGAAAATTAACGATTTTGGAGCCAAAGTCTGTGTAAATAGCGTTTTCGTTTTAAAAATTGAAATAATATTTTCTTTAAAATATTTCCAAACGCAATGGGAAATTATTATAGAAATTAAAAAGAAAGTTGTTCACTTGTTTTTCTTTTTACTGCTGCTATCTATAGTCTTCTTGAACGAGTAAGCGCCACGCCAGCTACTAGGTATACAGGGTGTATCAGGTATGAGTAGAAATATTTTAACATGAGATAATATGGCCCATTTCAAGGTATAACTATATACACGACAAATTGACATTTGGCAACGAATAAGTGAATATAAAAATTTTAAAACTCTGCCAGATGAAAGAAAAGTGTAGTATTCGGCTAGGAATAAAGGGGTAAGTCGCAGATTAGACACACACCCTGAGATATTTGAAAAATTTCGATAAAAGCCGACCAAACCTTACTTTCTCAACATATTGTACACTGCTCAACAAAAGTAGAGTAGAAATGAACGGAGAACAGTTTGAACACTAACTCGCCGGATAGAAGAATCCAATAGAAAAGTGATTGAAGAAGCAACTTGTATATCAAAAATTAGTCATAGGATTAAGTTGTGCCCATTGTAGGGTCAGAAATCCCATAATAAGTGCCCAAAAAATATTGTGAAGTAAAAAACAAGACATAAATTTATTTAAAAAAATGCAAATCATGGGGCAATCCAGAAGGCAATCATGAGTTTACAAAACTCCTAGTCAAGATAGCTTAAGATCAGAATTTCTAAAACTAATTTGTGACTCGATAAAATATCCACTAACGTTTTTTATAGATAACTGATTCAGCGAGGGTATCTTTGCAACTATTCCCAAACAAGCGACTATCGTTTAAACCACTCTTCAAAAGCGGAGACCAAGACGAAATCACAAATTACCGACCCATTTCTCTGATATCAAACATCGCGAAAGTTTTTGAGAAAGTCATTAAAGAAAAAATGGTGTGTTTTTTGAATAAGTATAAATTATTACCAGGAAATCAATTCGGATTTCAGAAACATAAATCTACAGAAGATGCTTGAGCGAAATTAGTCGCTAGTATAAATAATTCGATAAGTACAAAAAAACCGTCGCTTTGTGTTTTCATCGATCTCACGAAAGCATATAACACAGTCGATCATGATTGCCTTATGGGAACATTAGATACAATCGGATTTCAAGGAATTTTCTACAAGTTTCTTATAGAAGTTATTTAACAGAGCGAGTACAACGAGTGAAAATTGACGAGACTTCGAGTGAACAAAAAATAATCAAGTATGGTGTTCCCCAAGGTACAGTGCTTGGACCGCTGCTCTTCTAAATATTGATGGAATAGTTTCCCTTACATTCGCAGGAATCTTAACTTGTTTTGCGGATGATACTGCAATTTTTTATGAAGCAAATACGTGGGAACAACTTGAAGATGACGCAGAAAAAGACTTGGCAATGATATTTGAGTTGTTTGAAACTAATTCCTTGACCGTAAATGAAAATAAAACAAACTTCCTTACTTTAACATATTCCGCTAACCTCCCGACCTATGATGCACTTGCTGTCAAAATCCAGCTCAGCAACCTCAACAATAAAAAGTAAAAACAGTGTTAAATAACTGGGGGTTTGCTTAGACAGCCATTTGAGATTTGACAAACACGCGGTATACGTCACAAAAAAAAAAGGTCTACGCTGAGTAAATTTAAGTATTTATACTAAATTCTGAGTACAAGTCAACTTGAAATTCTATATCACGCACTGGTAGAGAGGCAGAGACGCATATTAGGCATGGTTTGATAACCTGGGGAGGATGATCGAAGTACTTAATAGATATGGTGGAAAAAACTCGAAAATGGCTCCTGAAAATAGTTTATCAGAAACCTAGACTATTTCCCACTGGACAACTATACGAATGGGCTCTTTCACTAATTTTTGAAATTGGCATATTTGGATAAAGCAACTAAAAACAGAATTTTCTGTATTTTTACTTTTGAAAAATTCAAAGTCCTTCTTGAGAAAACAGAAAACAAAGAAATACCTCCAAATAAAAACCCAGAATTTATTTCTATGACGTCGCAGCTCGCAATTTGACCGTGTTGCCACTAATTGTCAACATTGAAAATTTGTAATAGATTTAATTCTGAAATGTTGGCAAAATCTCATGAAAAGTAGTTAAATTAATTAGTTATAGATTCAAGATTTTATAACATTTTTTTTTTAAATTATGCTTAAATACAATTTAATGCAATTTTTTATGTTTAGTTTTATTCATTTATTTTACGCTGCACTACATTTAGTCACAACCGACAACAGCGCATTCGAACCTTTACGTATCTTTACAGAGCGCAAACACAGCCGAGCCCTTCCTCCTTGCAACGACATAAGCGAAATGAAGAATATTTATGTGACGTCGGCAAATCGGCGCGTTTTAAAATAGTTTGAATTTAGGCACTTTTGATTGCCTATGAAAAACTTATTGAACCTTGTAGAACATTTTTTTTTTGGTATACAGTAAGGGGCAGGCTACTAGGTATATAGGATCCAACTTGACGAATTTACGATCGTCCGCAGCCGTCTGAACACCTGTCGCTGTCGGTCCACTGTCGTTTTTTCGATGACTTTGATGTTCATAAACCATGGTTCACATCAGTACGTTTTATGATTTTACAGACTTAAGCCCGGTCCAGACGTTACGTTACTGATACCTGATCGATCACGTGTTGAACTGTGCAGACAAAACTTGATGCAAAACGTAGCATCTAGACCGTGCTTTTAGATGTATCGTCGAGCTTCACTTACTTATAATTATTAAACGGCGTGTATAGATAGATTTTTTTTGGAACCGAAACAATAATCTATGGAAAAAAAAACATGTATTTTAAAAAAGCCATCCAGGAAAAACTAAAAATATATTCAACATAAAAAATCGAAAAAAAATTAAGTAAAATAAAAACAAAAATTCTAGTTTTACCCCAAAAACCTGGCTCGATTACCATTTGCACTACAATGTAGCAAATGTTCAAACAGTCCCAGTCCACCTTCTTGAACTAAACAATGACCTAAACGATCATAGAAGGCTCTACGAATATTATTTAGCATCACAGGGGTGACAGTTAGATATATTTCTCGAATTTTGAAACGCAGCTGCTCAAGGTTCACGGCGCGATTCTCCTGAAAACCATACATTTTTGATTTGCAATAACCCCAGAGAAAATAATCGTTGGGTGCAAGATCGGGAGAGCGTCACAGTATTGTAGCTCTCGACCCAGCAATGAGACGGTTCGGAAAAGTATTATTCAAATGGTCCAGAATGAAACCCGTATTATGGGCTGGACATCCATCTTATTGATACCATATTTCATTAAATCTATAGGACCAGATAATCTTTCAATTTCTGGAATTATCTGCCGTTGGCCCGTTGCAAAAGATCCAAATATTTTGGACCAGTTAAGTTAGCGTCCATGAAGTACGGCCTAATAATATGTTATCCACACAAACCGCTCCGTAAATTCTCCTTAGACCAATAACGGGTGTGACTAGGATTATGTCGACCATGGAGTTGAAATGTCGACTCATCTGTAAAGACAATTTTTCTAAGAAAATCTTGATTTTCATTTGCCTTATTAATGACAGTTTCACAAAAATCCATTCGCCTGATGTTGTCCTCAGGATCAATTTTTTGGGAGTTTCTTACTTTCTACGAACGATACTTTTTTTTTTCTGTGGCTCCTAACCGTCCTTGTACTCGAGTCAATATCCTGCGCAAGCGCACGAGTCGAAATAGTTGAAGTTTTGTTAACTATTGCCAACAACCAACAACATAATTTATTTGGCTTCTTGATCCTCATTATTTTCCGGGACGTCATTTCGTTCGGTTTCAGGGAGAAACACAACCGTATTTTTGAAAATTATTAACAACCCTAGAAACTTTTTACTTGGTTGTCGCCAGGTTAGCGCTAAATCCATTTGTCATTTTCTGACATGCGGACGCCTGCAAATTCGTCAGGTTACATCCTATATACCTAGTAGCTTGCCCCTCACTGTATATGCCTAAAATAGTCCCTCCTTTGAGATTTTATACTTAAATTACGTATTTAAATTTTAGTGAAAGAGCCCATTATGCAAAAAATTTAGTGAACTTTTCATTTGGCTTGCAGGTCCCCGATTAACATTTTGCACACTTAGACTTCCCGTATCACAAAATCTTTGCAAAACAGGCACAATTAATATTCCTTCATTAGGTGCCGTTCTATTAGGAAATCTTTCCCTGTGAATTCTGGCGGCTAAATGAGCATTTTCTAACGATTCTCCGTAAACAAGTAACATAGGTATCTGCATTTTCGTTTGTGAAAAATTTTCAACAAGAATTACCTACTTATCAATTGAATAAAATTAAATTTTTTACGTCTCGTAATGATTGAAAGTTTCTTTATATTTTAAATATACGTCAAAAAATTTCAAAGGCCTTTTTCTTGGAATGGTTGAGTTTCAGCTGCATACATTTTTTTTGTTCAAAATGGGCCATATTTCCACGTGTAAAAATGTTTTTAGTCAAACCTGATACACCCTGTAGATTAAAGTAACCAGCCTTTTGCTGCGAAACCTGTTTAGCTGTAAAATGAGATAAGGCCCTTCCTCTCATACCTATGAGGAAACGCGTTGATGTTTTTGTTTATCAAATACTTCGTACACAATAAACATGCACGGATGGCACGGATCTGACAGCAAATTCAATTTTTGACTCTGCTTCCTCAGTTCGAAGCCAAATAAAGAATTTCCTCCGAACCTGCTCCCCCATTTCGAAGCCAAACAAATATGTATTTAGATTCCTAGCAGTTTTAAGCTCGATGGTTGAAATCTTTTACAAAAGTCCAAGAACTAAGAGTAGGTAT